TTTCCCCCACTCTGGCCGCCTTACACTGGCTACCTATCCACTTCCTTATTGATTTCAAGGTGTTAACCATGGACCTTGATACCTGGCAGAGCGCCGCCTCCTGCCCAGTTCTACCCGTATTACCCGCTCCAGTCAGAGTGGGCGGCTGAGGGGCCTAACGCCAAGAGAGGACCGGTGGGAAAAAAACAGAAATCAGGCCTTCTTGGCAGTGGCCCCTCGCCTCTGGAACAATTTACCTGCAGAGGTCTGGATGGCTCCCTCGCTGAAGGCCTTCAAGACTAGCTTGAAGACATGGCTATCCAGGCAGGCCTTCCCTACAGCCATTACCTAGCCTATCTCCCCTTTTCTTCTTTTTCTTTTCTTTCCTTCTTCTTCTTCTTTCTCTTCTCTCCCCCCCCCTTTATTTTCCTTTCCCATCTTGGATTAATCTGCATTTTATCATAGTTTATTTTTTTATATTATATGTAAACCACCCAGAATAGACCCCGTTGTAGATGGGCGGTATATAAATCTAATAAATAAATAACAAATAAAATGTAAGAAATACAGAGGCTTTAGGAAAGGTTGAAGCACAATCAATAAAGCTTTCATTCTAAATCACATTGCCTTTGACCTCATAGATAGGGACTGATCTAAACTGGTTGCCCCCAATATTGATTCAAAGTTACTGCCGCTTGTTCAGCTGTTACACCAAAACAAAATACATACAACACATGTATTTATTTATTTTATTTACTGTATATCCCGCCTATCTGGTCGGTTAAGACCATGAAGAAGCCTGTGGTTCCTATGAAGGCCGGGCGTGCTGATGATAACTGGAGGTTTTGGTGGGGAACGAAGCCCATGCCAGGAGATTTGTGACATGATCTCCAGAAGACCGTGCCTGTCCGGTCAAGCTTGTTAGCGCTTGGGCAGAGCCCGTGGCTTTTGCTGGGACAGACGGGACGAGGCTGCCCTTTCGGTGGAAATTTGGAACGGTTTTAATTCTGGAAAAGTTTTCCATTCGGGCAAAGAAGGCAGTGCTTTTGAAAAAGAGTATGTGTTTGTTGTTGTTGCTTGTTTGATTGCTGCCGTTCGGTCTGGTTTTAAAGGTACTTAGAAGGGAGTGCCACTGAGCATGTGCAGAGTACCTCTGCATGGTGGAAGGATTCTGTCCTTGGCCATCCAGACACTTCTGCCTTGCATTTCGCGTGTGCTTCCTTACCTGGACACAGCCCTGGCTGGGATGTGGAGGGAGGAAGGGCGAGAGGTCGCTGCCGAGCAGCAGGTGGACCTTGACCAACCACCGTGGTCCCTTCCAGATGTTCCTGGAGGGCTCCGACCACCGTTCCTTCCCGTGGCCTGGGCCACCCCGGGCTCATCGAAGGGGTAGGGGAGAAGCATCTGGGGGTCGACCACGGCCCACCCCATCTGACGTAATTCGCCTCTTCGGTTTCCAAGAGACACCCACAAAAATACACACGACACATTTTCCATCACATTCACCCAGTGTATGTGCCCCCCCCGGTCACTTCCGTGTTCCCGAGAGAGTGCGCTTAAACTCCCGTCTGGTGCCACATTGTTGTGCTTTCTACCTGGGCTGTGCTACAGAGTCCTGGTTCCAGGACCACGTTACCTGTCGGAGTGCCTTTTCCCAAGGCCGTCCCCCTGCACCACGAGGTCCTCTTGGGCCATGTCCTCCCGGGTAGCTACTCCGAAGGAGGCCAGGAAATCATCCACCGGACATTCTTTGCTGTGGCATCAACACTCCTGGCTCCCCCCTTCCCCACCTTTAAAACTCACTTTAAAACACTGCCGTTCCTTGCAACCTGGTACTTTTTTCTGGCTTTGTCGGTTCTGGGTGAATTTTGCAAATGACGCCTCTTGGAGTTTTTCTGTTACTGTTTAAGCCAGGCCTTCTCGGTGGGAGCACCCAGGTTATGGCATCGGCGCCCAGAGGAGCCACGCCGGCCCCTTCTTTGTACTCATTTAGGAGGCAGTGGAAAAGGGAGACCTTTCACGTTGGCCCCGGTGGAATGCCTCGCCTCCTGTTCTGCTTTATTTCGAAAATACGTTTTGGTGCTACTGCTTTTTAGGGTTTTATGCTATGCTCTTGCTGTTTGTGTTGCAATTTAGTGTTTAAGGTTTGTGAAGTTCGGTTTTAACTCCTTGTAAGCTCTCCAGAATAGTGCTTCAGCACTAAACAGGGTGGTATATAAATTAAAGTAATGTAATAAATAAATTTCTCTGTTCCATTTATTATCTGGTTATTGGGGTTTTTTTATCTTATTGCAAACCGCCCAGAATAGTGCATAGCACTAATGGAGTGGCATAAAAATGTAAGAAAGAAATATTTATTTATTCATTCATTCAATTTATACCCCACCCATTTGGAGAACGTGTACTCTGGGCGGCTTACAATAAATAAATAAAACATAAATATTTGAAGGATGGTATTTTCCCCTATGAGGGCTCCTTGCCTTTTCCTGTCTGCAGGGGAAATAAGGCCTTATCTCAGTCCTACCACCTTCAGATACCTGTTCGGTGAGGACACAAGAGAGGTCCTTCTCCACAGGTGCCCCCAGGTTCCAGAATCTTCTCCTTCAGGAAATTAGGTTGGTACCCCTAATGCCCTTCTGATGATGGGCAGAAACCTTTTTAAGGTAGCCTTTTAGCAGTTGTATTGAACAGTTAAGACATGTCTTGTTGTGAAGTGCTGCATATTTATTGTTTTTACGATGTGCTCTCAAATAGTTTTTGAACTGTTTCCCCGTTTGTTATTGTGCGTTTGTTATTGTGTGTCGTTAAATTACTTCCAACTTACGACAATCCTTATAAAACAAGCCCTCCGGGGCGAGTCACAAGACGTTGGTGCATTTGATCTAACGGAAGACTTTTTTACTCTGCTCCAGAGCTGAAAAGGCTCCTAGAGCCGTTTACAGAACAATACAGAATAAAGAATTCAGGCTTGCCATCTAAAACAGCCTTTCCCAACCTCGATGTCTTCTTCGAGGTATTTTGAACGATGGGACAAAGGAAAGTTGACCTGAAATACCAGTTAGAAATGTATCAAATCGATCGAACAGAACAGGACAAAGAGCTCAATTAACAGTCAGCAATCCAATGTAAAAGTTGTAGAAGTGTCAGGCTACACAAACTCATTTCAGATCTCTCTAGGCTGTTTGTCACCATTTATATAGTGCTCCTCCCTTAGCAACTTGTCAGGCTTGCTTGCTTTAACTGTTGGAGCAGAAGCCAGAATTGGGTTGAATATCTAGAAAAACTTCCTAACTGTTAGAGCAGTATGACAATGGAACCATCTCGTTGGAACCATGTTGGAACCAGATGGTGAGTTTTCTGACACGGGAGGCATTCAAGAGAAAATTGCAGAACCATCTGTTGATATGCTTTGATTTGGATTCCTGCCTTGAGCAGGGGGTTGGACTTGATGGCCTTAGAGGCCCCTTCCCACTCTAATTCTATGAAGAAGTGGATTCATCAGATCTCGTCGTTCAATGGGCCTACTGTAGTGTGATTTGTTATGCTAAGCAACACGATTTGGGCCATTGTCATTTCTGTTCATGACACTACAGTACTTTTCAATGTAATTTTGTTCCACCCTTGTGACTAGAATAACATTCAGTAACTTGGTTATGCCCAAGATCAAAACCCAGAGTACTCATAACCATCCATCGGTCTTCTGATCATGTAGATCTTGATTTTCTGTATGTGAGTCTTATTTTTCTCCAGCTCCCTCCCTCACCTTTTCAATCTACTCTGTTCGCAGATTTTCCAGAAGGTAGCTGAGATGTCTGGAAAAGACTGTAGCTGAAGGCAGCCGAAAGAAAGACCGGAAATGGTATGGATGGAGTATGGGGGAATGATTCTTGAATTCAATAGGTTTTTGCTGTAGTAAGCTTCACTAACTTTATTGCATGGGTCAAGTCCCCTTTTCCTTAACAGTTTTGGATAACATGCTGAGTTTCCTTGTTCTGTCTTCCTCCTTAAGGCTATTTGACAAGTCCAACTTGCCAAAGCCGATGCTGTCCCTCGTCCGCCATTTTCTTTGGCACAAGGACCAGCCAGCTGCCTCTGAGAAACTCACAAAAACGACCAACCTTCCCCGTTACTCTGTTTTGGCACAAGCAATAAAGGAAAACACAACAGTTGTGGCACATGAAGGATGCATAAAGTTGTGAGCTTTTGTGGATTGTGATCCAGTTCCTTGGGCATCCTTCCGTGCTGTCTGCCCCTATTTAGCAGGTACACAGCCCTTGAACACGGAAACTCTGTTAAGCTATCATCGTTTATAGACCTGATAACTGCCAGGGGAATGTGCAGTTCTATTTAGCTAACTGTATATTGTGCAGAACAGCACTTGCTCTCATCTGATACCCTTGGGTGTAGTTGGCGCAGGGTTCCAAGGGCCAAACTTTCATGAATTTCTGGGTAGAACAGTCTGCGATATCCACCACGGTGCCGAACGTCCCTTTTCTCATTAGCTTACTTTCTGGGTAGCACAGTCTGCGATATCATCCACCACTGTGCCGAACGTCCCTTTTCTCATTAGCTTAGCCGCTATCCTCACATTATAGAACAAATAAGTCTCGGACCACACGTTTTCTGAATAGTTTCTATTCCAGAACTATAATTGCACTTAATAATGAGCTTAAAGACCATCAGTAGTGGATAGTTAGTTGGACTGTTACTTGGCCTGCGGTGTAGATGTTTGTATTTTTAGTGGGGACTTTTAGTGGGTGGGGAGTGTTTGGGGAATGTTATGTGTGTGCATGTGTCTGGTCTCTGGGTGTCTGTGAATTTCGTTGTATGGGTATACTGTGTATATACTTACAATGACAATAAATTATTATTATTATTATTAGCCTTCTAGCGAATTGATTTCCCCCGGGAACTGTGTATTGTTACAAACTGTTCCTACTGTAGTATTTGCAGGTGATTTTCTTGAATGGACATTAAGATCCATTGACTTTACAAAAGACCTGCTCATTATTTGTTGACATAGACTGATCTCGCTGCCTGCATTTTTCAGCTCTCATCGCGGGGAGGCTGGCTATGGGCTCTGTCCTGTGAAGCGCCTGCACTTCCACATTTATTTCTACACGACTGCTTATATCCCATCATCACCTTGCTATTGCCTTTTTGATACCAAGTTCTTTTCATGCAGAGAGATCCTTTTCTGTCCCAGGTTGTCTCCAGTCTCTTTCCCATTCCCTGTGGTTCTTAATGTACATTTCTCCTTATAATCCTGGTAATAATAATAATATTAGTTCTCCCCCCCTCCAAATATATTTTGCAGGCTTAAAGCAGAACCTCACCGTCTCAGAAGTGGCTGCAGGCAGTAGTTGTGTTTTTTTGGAAGATGTTCGGAGACAGGGTGCTTTCAGATCTCAAGGAAGATCTTTACAAAGACCTCTCGTTTCCAGCGAATGATGACTCTCTCTTTTATAACTACTCCACACCACTGGCTCATTTCAGAGGGGAGATCTGTTGGCTGAGACCTCAGGTTTGTTCCTCCCTATGGCAGTATTTTGAGAAAAGGAGCGAGGAGCCGAAGGGACGTCTTCTGTGTACCAAACCGAAGTTGAATTTTTTCCCCCTCAGGTTAATTGACAGGTGTATGATGCTTGGTAGCGGGCAGGATGGGTGCTTTCTCTCTTCGTGGGTGAACTCAGCTTCTCATCTCGGATGATATATTTTGATATATACAAATGGATGTTGGATTGGCCCTGTTCTGGCCATCCTGCTTCAAGGAACAGAGGTTGGGAGTTTGAATCCCCCCTGTCCTCCTTGACTGGATGATCCAGAGGGTCCCTTCTAGCTCTGCAGTTCTAAGATGATTATTATCATCGTCATCATAAATAAGCGGGTCTAAATGCTCTCTAGGACCCAAAATGACTACACTAAGGTTATACCACTTTGGGCGCGTTATGAGAAGACAACGTGCCTCGTGGTTAACTGCAGAACTGCAGCCAAAACTCTGCTCACAACCCAGGTTCAAATCCCAGGAAGCAGCTCATGATTGACTCAGCCTTCCATCCTTCCAAAGTTGGCAAACTGAGTAGCCAGCTCACATACATGTTTTGTGTGTGCGTGTGTGCATACTTTAATGCTTGACAATACTGCTAGGAAAAATTGAAGACAAGGAGTAAAAAAAGAAGTCCCAAGCATGAGCTGGAACAACTTCCTAAAGGAAGCCACAGGTTTTGAGTTTGCAAGACCTGAGCAGGACATTCTAGAGATTCATTCATAGGGTTGCCGTAAGTCAGAAGTGACTTGATGGCGTATAACAGCAACCCTCTTCCAAGCTGCCTCTTAGGGAATTGAGGATGGGTTAATTTTTCAGGAAAGTCAGCCGGAAGTGCAGCCTGTTCTTTTTAAAAATGTTACTCTTCTCTTTCCCCATTAGGAGATTTGTTCTCTGCCTCGATTGTTTTCCGACGATCACTATGAATGGCAGGTGAAGCAAGGGATGTTGGGGGACTGCTGGTTCCTGTGTGCTTGTGCTGCTTTGCAGAAAAGTAAATACCTGCTAGCCAAGGTAAGAAGAGGCGATACCCTGTTCTGTGTTGCAGAGTTTTGAATTTGTGGTTAAATTCCTCTTAACTGTGCCGCAGAAGGGCAGGGATTCACAGAGCAGAACAGCTTCAAGTTCTTTAGAGTAGACTACCCCTTTTATCATTAAGCTGGCATTTATAGTCTCAGTAACTCACTCCGAGACACTAGTAAGAGAAAAGGAAAAAAAGTGTCACTGCTTACAATTGACTAGATCAAACAGCAAATTGGCAAACACGACTGCTGTCAGCGGCAAGACGTCAGCAGGCGCACTGACTGCATGCAAGGTTGCAAAGCCTCCAACGTTCTCCCCATCAGAGTTGCAGCCACATTACATGCTTTTGCTATGGCAAGCCGGGCATTGTAGAGAATCTAGCACAAGATAAGATGGTTTCTTGGAGAATAATATTGAATTTCACCGGAAGGGAGGAGCAATAGTAAGTAAAATTTATTACCATCAAAGACCAAAACAGAAGAATCTGTGCAGGCTGAAGTACTAAGGCCTGAGAGGCCAAGAGGTACTGAATACTCAGTGTTCTGCCAGTGGTACTTAGCGATAGCTAAGGGGGAAGTGCCATACATAAACCACTTCTGCTGGCTCGTTGTGCACTTCCTTGGTTGAATCAAGAAACTGTGCAACTGAATCTTTGCTGCCAGGCGCAATGCCCGGCTCATTGACACAGGCATAATGCGACACCTCCATGGACAAGATTTTTCCCAGTGTCTGAAGGCCTCCTCCTCCTCCCTCCAGGCCTCACCCACTCCACTACCCTTCCTCTCGAGGCCCGTGTACTGGAGGGCAGATCTGTAAAAGGGAGGGTGCATGCATGCCACTGGGTAGGCTTTCTGTTCAAACAGGAATCTTGCACCCATGGTGTCTGCTATTGTGTGGTGAACCTGGAGGGGTACAGAAGCCTGCACACAGAAGCTTCTTTTCAGATGTTCTGACTATGGATGTCAGATGTGGGGTTGGTGGTTGATTGAGATCAGGGTAAAAACAGGGTTTGATTTGGGTTATATAAAGAAACAAACCAGATGGTTGGAGAAGGCCAGAAACAGGATGAAAGCAATCAAAAAAAGCATTACAAATCCACTTGAACATAATTTTATATACATATATCTTGAGAACGAGAGCGAGGGAGAGAGAGATCTATCTGTATGCTGCTCCCAGTTTTGTTTCATTAATGTCTATAGTGCCGAAATAACAATGGTGGTGTGCTGTCTAATCAATTCTGACTTACGGTAATCCTTTCCTGGCTTATTCGGATCTGAAGTACACCGATGTGGTTTGCCAGCCCTTCTGTGGCTCAGTGGGTTTGGTTTCAACATTTCTTCTCGCCTGTAATCCAGACAAAGAACAACAACTTTAAAAGTATTGACCTGCATTCTTTTCTTCTTCTTCTCTTTTTTCATTTTTACATTTTAGTTACTTTCTTAGTCAAATAAATAGTGGAAGAAAATACCGCAGGGTTCAAGTGGTGGTTTATGCCTTCTGCCCTTTTGTGGGCAGTGAAGTGACAAAACTAGGACGCCTGAATGTTTTGTACCCAAGGAAAGTTCATGTGCAGCATCCAGACATTGTTTTATTTTTTAAAAAACACACCAAAGTAACTTGTTTAGTTACTTTCGAGAATCAGGAAGGCTTTACTTTTGAAATTTTAACTACAACTAAAAATTGTAATTACAACTTGTTAGGGGTTTTTCCCCCCCTTTAGGACCTTAATGATGACTGATTACTGTAGAAAAATAACTTTCTCAACTCTGGAAGAATAAGGGAGAGCCACAGTGTTCATAATGATGACTGATTACTGTAGAAAATAACTTTCTCAACTCTGTTTGGAAGAATAAGGGAGAGCCACAGTGTTCAGGAGCTGTCAGGATAGCCCAGTGGTTTAGATATCTGACTGAGGAGCCAGAGAGGTTGGGAGTTCGAGTCCCCCACTGTACCTGCTGGGAGAAGAGCCAGCCTGTGTGGCTTTGGGCAAGCTGGACAGTCCCAGGGCACCCCTAGAAAGAAGGGTTCTGGAAAACCCTGAAAAGGGTTATCATAAGTTAGATTTAACCTGAAGGCACATGGATGATCATGATGGTGATGATGATGTAATGTCATACCTTACTGTTCAGTGTGAGATGTGAGCAGATATCCATGAAGTCACAGTTTTTTTGTTGTTGTTCCAGCCATTAGATTTTATATTTTAAAAAGCATGAAATAAAAATGCTGTCAGGTTGGGGTCCATTCCATCCGCAGACCCACAGATCTGGAATATAAAAGCTTATGCCGGTTCAGTCTTCTTCTTTTGTGCCGATGTGTGATCATTCTTTCCGCACAGGTGATACCTCCGGGTCAACCTAGCTGGGGAGCGGAGAATTACCGAGGCTGTTTCACCTGCCGCGTCTGGCAGTTTGGACACTGGGTGGAGGTCACCATCGACGATCGGCTCCCTTGCATCGGGGGCAAGCTCTGTTTCTCCCAGTGCCAGACGGAAGATGTGTTTTGGCTCCCCCTGTTGGAAAAGGCTTATGCTAAGTGTGTGATGGTCACGGGAACTGAAGGTTGGGAGGGCTGGCTGTGTGTAGTTTTGTGTGCCGAGCTCCTGTGGAGGTCTGTTTGTTGTATTTTGTTTTCGTGTGCAGTCATTCCTTACAGGTTGAGTCTAGGCAATTTGTGAGTAGTTAGAGCGGTAGCTATCTGTGCATAGCACCTACTGGCAGAAGCCAGTGACATCACCTCCCAACTCCTTCTCCAGATAGTTTTCAACATTTAGAGACATATTTCTTCTTTTTAAAAGAGCGACCAAACCACATTTAAAGGGGATCAGCATGTGCACGGGACTTTAGAGATCTGTGTTTAAAAGTAAACATGTTCATCAGAAGCATGGAGGATGGGTAAGGAGAAAGAAGACTACAGAGGAGGATGGGCAAGGAGGAAGAAGTGGCCAAAATGACCAGTTAGACGGGGTATAAATGGAATAGACAGACAGACAGACAGACAGACAGACAGAGACAGACAGACAGACAGACAGACAGATAGATAGCTAGATAGATAGATAGATAGATTAGATAGATAGATAGATAGATAGATAGATAGATAGATAGATAGATAGATAGATAGATAGATAGATAGATAGATAGATAGATAGATAGATAGATTGATAGATTGATAGATAGATTGATAGATTGATTAGATTAGATTAGATTAGATTAGATTAGATTAGATTAGATAGATGGATGGATGGATGGATGCCTCACTTCCCCCTGGTCTGAATAGGCACATTAGAAGGACAAAGGATTGGGGGTGAGGGATAATCCCACTTCTGCAGTCCTCCACCCATTGTCATGGGTCGTTAATGGTCGTTAACTGTGGTCTTCCTAGTGTGTGTGGTCCTAATCTTTCTGGGGATGGATAAACAGGCTTTCCAACAAGGGTTTCAGCCTAATAAGAAAGAAGTCCAGTGGCCATGACTCAACTTCCAGATGGCCTCACCTGGACGACTGAGAATCTTCACAGATATAGAGCAAGATAGACTGTTAGTTGCAGGCGTACCCCATAGATCTGATTTCTGACATCTCTATTCGTGGGAGTGGGAGTTTTGATTCTGACAGCGAGCCACTTTGCAGCTCCTGCCTACTGCAAATTCTGTTTGTCAGGAATGTGATTCGTATTATCCTCACCCACGTGCATCCGTCCAGGAAAGAAACTCCCTCCCTTCTTCTTTTAAACTGCCAGTTCAGTATCCCGATGTGTGTTTTTGTCTTGGCATTTCTTAGGGTGCACGGCTCTTACGAACACCTCTGGGCAGGCCAGGTGGCCGATGCTCTGGTGGATCTCACGGGAGGCCTGGCGGAAAGGTGGGCCCTGAAAGACCCTGCCCGAAGCACGGAAAAGGAGCGAGCGAGTAAAGTCCTGGAGAAGGCCGTCTTTAGAAGACTGATGAATCTGAAGGAGAGATGCGTCATGAGCTGCTCCGTCTTCAGCTCACGCCAAGGTCTGGGGAGAACCGTGGGGCGTCAACTCATCCCAAGGCCTTCCTTTGGCCACAAGAGCTTGGGAAGGTTACTGGGTTGGACTACAACTCCCATCATCCCCCAGCCAAATGGTATAGATAACATCCTTAGCTTTTTTGGTGCTTTTTTTGGCAACAAGGTTCCAACACTTACTGCTGAGACGGAAAATCGCCAGGGACAATTATTTCTTTGGGCTAAAGTCGTAGTCCAGAGAGCCAACGGATGCACCTGCTGGGGCTTTCTGGAACTTGTAATCCCCCCCACCACTTACTGCTGAGACGGAAAATCCCCGGGGACAATTATTTCTTTGGGCTGCAGTCGAAGTTGTGGTCCGGAGAGCCAACAGACGCACCTGCTGGGGCTTTCTGGAATTTGTAATCCAAAAAGGTTATTGCCACACTTTTTAAGCAACAGAAATCTAGTTTAGTTTTAGAATGCCTAGTTTCTTGGGGGAAGAGTTTTCCGAATGCTTCATTGTCTCTCAGAATCTAGTGAGCCGTGTGGGGATGGGAGAGCAGTCGTGGGGAAATATGGCCCATATTCCCATGGGCCTGGAAGGGATTGGGTGGAGATTTTCTCATGGTTTTGACCATTTCTCCCATAGAGACAAGGAGAAACAATCTCAGGATGTCTGGTATAGGTAACAATATGTAGTGTCTTGATGATTGGTGGAAAGCTTTAAAAACTTCCTTGCTTAACGCGTTTCGGCAGGACCTTCATCAGAAGCAAAATCTTTATATTTCTCTGGTCTAGATCAGCTCTGAAGCTAATCAGGAATTCCTGCTGAAAGGCGTCAAGCATAAACGTTTTTTAAAGCTTTTCACCACGTCATCAAGACACTACATAGTGTTACCTATCCCAGACGTCTTGAGATTGTTTCTCCTTGTATCTTTCAGTTTTTATTGGATGTGCCAGTTCCCGTCAACTTGACATTTTCTCCCACACCAGGGACCAGCGAGCTGGGGGAATTCCACGCGTTCATTGTGGTCGACATGCAGGACCTCTCCAGAGTGTCCAGGAAGGATATTGTGCTGTTGAGGATACGTAACCCTTGGGGGAGACGGTGCTGGAAAGGGCCCTGGAGGGAGGGGTGAGTAGCCATTTTGCACTTAGAGCCAGGGTTCCAAAGTTCATTCGTTCGTTCGTTCGTTTATTTGTTTAAAATATTTTTACCTCACCTCATCGTCTCTTGAGACTGTAGGATGCCTCATCTATCTAATCTAGTCTGTGCTCAGGGATTTTGGGCAGCTGAAGTCCAAAATATCTAGAAAGCCAAGATTAAGAACTGAGGATTTAATAGTCAGCTGGTGTCATCTGGGGCATCCCAGCATCTCACTGGCAGGTTTAAGGGCGACACCTCCAAACCTGGCTGTTCCCCCAAAATTTTTCTTTTTAAAGAGAGAATACGCAAACATACCCTTTATAGGTGAGGATTCGTGCTATGTGCTACTAGGTACCTGTATCTATTATGATTGATAATGTAATGATTTAAAATTCTATGGGGCTTTTTGTTTACTTAGATATCTATTGATGAACCTTGGAGACACAATTTCACAAAATTAGTCTCTTCTTTTTCACAAACTGACAGTACGAGCAGTTATAACAACAACACAGTGCTACAGTTTGTGCACCCAAGACCTCGGCAACAGCAGTTGCTTATAGAATTGCAAAGTTTAAGGGCCCTTTTGAATTCAAATTCAGACAAAAATCCAAGATATCTTCCACAACTATGTTGAGTACTCACAACATAGAAGAATCAGCTGCACATGCAAAATTTTTGAGACTGTAAAATAAAATATAAATTCATTGCATATACATGAATTTACTGTGTGGATTTGCCCCTTCAACAGAAACATATAGGAATTATACCTAGACCCAGTTGGCAAGGGCTTAGCAAACTAAGTGGCAATAGCAGCTCTGTCCAATTCAGCTCTCCTGCTCTTTCTGATTCAAATCTCTTACTCCCATCCCTGCTCTTTCTTAGTCTAATAGGGGGTCACAATAGTAATAATAGTTATCCCTCTTGATTTCTGTCCGTCTTGTGCTTCAGTGGTCCTGGATGGAGCCAGCTGGACCCAGTGGTTGCAGCGGAACTTCTGTCCCAGATCCAGGAAGGGGAATTCTGGGTAGAAGAAGAGGAATTTTTCACAGAATTTGATGAGATCATCACTGGGTACCCCATTACTGAAGAAGGGCAGCTGCAGAGCCTTTACACAGGTATGCCGTGCCCCCACCCCAAAAATGCCATATTTTCCCCATCAGGTGACAGAATGAGATGAAAAGATTTGATTTTTCCATTGTGGTCTACTCCAACCGTGTGTGCCAAATCTTTGAGTTCTAGCCAGGGTTCTATTCTTGGCTGGTGGGTGCAGAATGGCTGCAGTCATAGGCAGCCACCGTGGATGGTCACGGCATTAAGCATCATGAAAATGGGAAAGTCTCCTTTGCTTGGATGCTCCTGCTGGGATCTTCCAGGAAAATCATCTCCTCCTTTGGGCTGTTGGTCCAAGTCTCTTGTGAACAGTTCGGACCCATTGGCTGGCTCCATAGAAAGAGGATGAAGACAACCATCATAGCGCAGGAGTGGGAAGAAAAGACTTCTGGCTGGGAGAGAAGGGCCAACGGCTACGACTGAATTGGAGATGGGTCACAATAACTGTCAAAACAAGGAGAAGCATTTCTGGTCTTCTTCATGTTTTTCTCTTGGTCGGTGTGGGCCCATGCCTTCGCTCATTCACTATGCAGGAAGGCATTTGTGTTATCCAGATGTTGCTGAACATCTGGAATACAGTGGTGCCTTGCATAGCGATGTTAATCCGTGCAGCAAAAATCGCTGCAAAGCCATTTTGTCGCTATGCGGTTTTTAAAAGCCCATAGCAGTGCATTGAAACCCCTTCAATGCGTTCCTATGGGCAAAAAACTCACCTTAAAGCGAAGATCCTCCATACGGTGGCCATTTTCGCTGCCCGGGAAGCGAGGAATCTGTCCCTAAACACAGCGGGTGGCCATTTTTTTTACCCGGTGGCCATTTTGGAACTGTCGATCAGCTGTTGGAAAATCATCGCTATGCGATGATCGGTAAGCGAAACAGCAAACCGATCGTCGCAAAGCGATTTTTCCCCATAGGGAACATCGCAATGCGATCGCTTTTACGATCGCAAAAACTTAATCGCTATGCGGTTTCCTCATTAAACGGGGCGCCCGTTAAGCGAGGCACCACTGTAGTTGTGTTTCAACATTGGTTAGCTGCCCAATGCTTAGGCACTAGATAGGTGGGATATAAATAGAATGAATGAATCCATGAATGAATGAATAAGACTGGTCCCATAATTCCCCATCACCCCTGACTGGGGCTGATGGGAGTTTGAGTCCAACAATATTTGGAGGGAGGATGGCACATGTTTTCCAGTTCCGACGCACATCATAAAGGGTAGGCAGTTTGTTCATATTTAGGGCGGTTCGTTTCCTCTCCCCCGAAAGGCCACCAAAAGGCAAGCAATTTACATGGGAACCAGTGACGTGATGCTCCATCCGTGTGCTTTTTTTGGTCTCTCTCCTCAGACAGAGTGCTGGGTCACACTCAGAAACTGTACGGGTCGTGGGTCAGAGGGCAGTCTGCAGGCGGCTGCCGTAACAACAGCACCTTCCCTATGAATCCCAAGTTCTGGCTGAGAGTCTGTGAGCAGAGTGAGGTGTGCATCGCCCTCCTGCAGAAGCATCGGAAGTATAACACCGATTGGGCAGGCAGGATCCGGAACCGTCCCCGTTTAACGGAAGCGGATCTGCCTTCGACGGACGGTGTCCGAGGGAAGAATTACCATGCGGTGGGGCTGCATCTATGGAAGGTAATTTGAAGGTTAGGCGGGCAGTGGGGAATGGAAGAGTGCAGCCATTTTAAACAAGAAAACACAAAGTTTCTAGACCTTAAGACTGGGCGGGTATGGGAAAACACGCACACAGATCCGAGTATTGTAACCCAAGCCCTTTTTCACAGTGAAAACTCAGTAGCGGGTGGGCGAGGCAGAGAATACAGCTCTTTATTAGTGGGTTAAAATGGTCTGCGTATGCTCAGAGGAACACCAGATACTTCTTTGAGATTCTGTATTCTTGATTTACTGAGTACTCTGCAACCACTTCCTGCTGCACTCCAGCGTTGCGCTAGATAAGTGGCTTCTAACTGGAAGAAAGACATCATTCTTTGTTTATATTTTTCTATCTAGATCAGTGTTTCCCAATCTTGGGTCCCCAGATGTTCTTGGACTACAACTCCCAGAAATCCTGGCCAGCACAGCTCGTGGTGAAGGCTTCTG